GAAAAGTAGCCCTTGACCAAGGGCAGTGCGAAGATATAAAAGCAAGATGCAAGTACCTCAGAAATCGGAGAACATAAAAATCCGAAAATCTTTCCACCACTTTTTGAAAACTGGGCGGGAACTCCCCCCCGCCCTCTTTCGGTCTCGCCGGCCGCCTCTTGACCTTTCCCTGGACCCAAGGGTGTGCCATGCAAATTTTGGCTGCTTTAGCTCTTACAGGGACTGAATGCATAGAGAACAAACATACAAACAAACTTTCTTCTTTATATATATAGATAAATCGGTGCTTCTGCAACGGTGCTGAACAACTTTTTTGTCAAGAAACAAATGATTCTCCACAACAACTTCATGGTTTATCCTCAAGAACCGAGTGATTCTATACAAGATTTCATTGCTGTTTCTTGAAAAAATGCGTGTTTCTCCACACGACCCTGTGTGAAATCGGTGTTCGTCCGCAACAAAGTCATGCTTTTGGTGTATCTCAACAAAAACACAGATTTAAGCAGCACAGATCTGTAAACACTTTTAACCAGGACAGATCCGTCTGTTTACACAGGAAATTTTGGGTTTTTGGTGAAAAAGGAAGCTATTCATCAACCGTCACAATAACTTCACGCTTTTCTGTAACCAATCGGTGTATCCCAACAAAAACGTCATGTTTTATCCTGAGGAAATCTCTCCTTCTGCAAAAGTACTTTTTTGGCAAGAAACAAGTGATTCTTCACAAGAACTTAATGTTTTATCCTGAAGAAAGCGTTGTTATCCAGAAGAAATCTTCTTTTATGATGGTGAAATCGGTGTTTCGGCAGAAGAACTTGTTTGGCAAGAAACAAGTGATTCTTCACACGAACTACATGCTGGTTCGTGAAAAAATCGGTGTTACTCCACAACAACTTCATGCTTTTTAGCAACGAAATCGGTGTGTCAACAAGAACAAGAAAAAAACCGGTCACTTCAACTTTCATCCTGGAAAGATGAAAGAGTCTTTTCTGAAAAGCATGAAGTTCTTGTGACGAATAGCTTCTTTCTTCAGCGAAAAGCATGAATTTCTTGTGTAGAAAGACCGATCTGTGCAGCTAAATGCATAAAATTCTTGTGAAAAAGCACCGACTTCTTTACGATAAGACATGAAGTTCTTCTGGAGAAACACCGATTTTTTGAACAACCGGCATGTGCTGTAAGACAGCTTTTCTCACTCGTTTCACTCAATATACGTCGGCAAAGGACGTGTTCCATACTTTCTCTGCAGTTGCTTAATTTGAATCTTTTCAAAAATTTGTGCTTTATACTGCATAAGCTCTCTTATTTTTGGTTTAAAGTTGGTACAAAGGTGCACGTACACTTTGTTTTCTTTGTTGTGAAACTTCGTCACTTTCGATCGTCGAATTTCTGCAAATCAATCAATATACGTAAGTGCGCCATTTTTGTTTTTATTCCATTATATCCATATTTGACACATTCGTCCAATATTATATCATCACTCGTCCTCTTTGTCAAATTCATCATGCCAGGTTTTTCACAGCTGATTATCAACACGTATTTGAATTCAATTAAAAAAACTTATACAAATCTCAGGGACTTATCCAGCGAGCAATATTTAGCATTGATTAACAAATTATGTTCTACTTTGGATAATCTTGATGATGAGTCATCGAATACAACGATTTCAACAGATATCAGCAGCAACCATGAGGTTTCTTCTCATCCGTTATTCATGAGAATTCTTGATCAAAATGACCTATTGTTGAAAACATTATGTTCTCAACATTCTCAATCGGTTGTTATAAAATCTCGTGATTCGTTCCCATCTTCCCGATTTCAAACAGTCTCAACAACAAATACAAGTCCTTTGCCACCTTTCGAACATATTTTATCGCAACTTTAGACTACCATGCCGCTAAAACAATTACCATTGTTATGTAGTCGTGCTTCCACAAAAGCATCATCATTAAATCAACATAATCTGTTAGTTTCTCCTTCATCAGACAGTCAAAATACTCAATCACATCCTGCATCCCAGTTGGATACACAGTTGAATTCTACTCCTCCTTCAACACCTGTCTTCATAACAGGCAGCAGTATCATCCAAAATTTAGAACAAGGTGTATCAACATTTAATGGTACTAATTTTAATGTTAAAGTTCGAACAAAATCTGGTTATTCAATTTTGGACATGATACAATCTATTCAAATGAATCAAATCGATAGTAATTTTCATCTTTCTGCTCATACAGTCTTCTGTATTGGTTCAATTCATTTAAAAAAAACCGGTCCTGATGAATCTATCAAGAGCATTCAAAGATTGATCCAAATTTTGAAAGATAAATATCCAAAAATGAAACTTGCATTTGCAACAATTCCTCCTCAGTTTGATCCATTACTCAAACCAAAATTGCAACAATTTCAAAATGGTGACATAGATGAATTCAATAGAAAATTACTTCAGCTTTCGTCAACAAATGGTGTTGATACAATTCACTGTAATTTTCAAAAAAATATGTTAAATAATGGAGGAATTCATTTGAACG